CAAACTGCAGAAATGAGTACAGCTGTTGTTTTTTCAGGAGAAATCCTTTAGTCTTCGAGAACAGAATGTGACCTGGAAGAGAGAAATCTCTAAGGATCCATGGCTCACTTTTAGATTAACTGTTTGGCTTTAGGGGACAGAAACTGGAATGACCTCTCTCTGATTGATGTTTACAGATATTGATCCCTGAATATAAAAGCTGTCTCCTACAAATGAGCTGTAACATTAACTAAATGTTTCTGACAAAGATGTTTAGAAGGAAACATCTTTCCTGCCTGGATTATGTTCACGTGCAGTTTGTTACAGTCCAGGAAGTTCACACTCAGGTTTCACTCAGAGGTCACTTTTGGTCCTGATTTCCACTTGCTGCTGCTTCAAATACTAAAACACTTTCAGGTTCAAGATCAGATGGTGGTTTTCGTTCCTCTATCTTTTCTGAACCTGAACCAGGAGCTGGTAGGCTTCATACTTTGATCTCTGACCCGTATCTTCAGCACTGACCTCTGACCTCAAGATCCACTTGTTTCTTCATCAGGATGTCTCCCTCCCTGCTGTAGACTGTGCAGGTGTAGGTGTTACTGTCTTTGTCTGTGGGGTATTTCAGGGTCAGACTGAGGTCTCCAGGTCTCAGCAGGTTTCTCTTCATCTCTGTTCGGTGTCTGTAAAACCTGTCCTGTTCTTCAGGCTGGTCAGAGCCATTCTGATACACATGGACCTTCCTGTAGTCTCTGTCCCTCCACTCCACTGTGACATTTTCAGGCAGGTGAACTCTGGTTTTGCAGGGTAGCTCGACAGACTCCACCCCCTCCTCCACCTCCATCTGGTAGACTGAGAGGACAGCAAAGCACAACATCAGCTGTACAGACAGCAGCAGGAACTCTGAAATGTTTCCCATTGGGACTTTTGACTAAGACCAGCAGGAGAACACTGCTTAAGCACTCCTGTACTGAAGGCCCTTCATTTGCTTCTGATTGGTTTTACAGTACTAAAAAATTTAATCTTTACAGAGCCTTGACAAGCTCCCTGTTATATCCAGGATCTATTACAAGCACACACCTCTGGTAGCTCTCTGAGGTCTTTTGAGGCTGAGACCTTTTAAATGTTCCCAGAACACATTTTAAGACAAGAGGTGATCGTGCTTCCTGTGTGGTGGCTCCAAGGCTCTGGAATTCCCTTTAGCCTTGGGAGCTTTGGATTCTTGGGAAATTTTTAGAAAACACCTACACACATCTTTATAGACAAGCTTTTAAAGGGGCATTATGTAGTTTTCAGCAGCCTCTAGCGATGCGGTTTTAAGATGCAACCATGTGTGTGCTCGTATGCGTGCTCACTTGAAGTCATGAGCAAGCTTAATCCAAAACAAAACCACTTTCATACAGAAATCTCACAATAAACGCAGAAACGGCATGGCTTTTCACACAGGCAGAGTGACAGCATCTATAGACAGACAGACACTTCACACAACATGCTGGAAACTCAGGTAAACTCCCACTGCAATAACTATCTTTACTATCAGTTTATCTTTCCCCGGAGGCTGAGCCAGCCAAATGTATTTGATGATAACAAAACGGTTAGTGAGCTGGACTGAATATTATAATGAGATTGTGTCCCACTTCATGACACTTTTTACAGCAATAAGTAACTTTACTGTAAGTTAGTGGATGGCTCTTCCTCTATGTTGTTGTCCCCATTTTGTTGCAGTGTATATTATGTGGGTCACACTAGTTACAGCAACTGACACGGTGGAGAAGCTGTATACATGAATATTGGTAAAACCACAATAAATCTAAATTGAACATTACGAAGTAAACAGTGGCAGAACGGATCTCATATAGCGTTAATTGGCAGCTCATGGCTGCATCACTAGAGGCTAGTGAACAAATCGCTCCGCCGGTTGTTGTGTTAGTGGACTGCAAGTCGTTAGCTGCCGTGATGTCGCTGTAGTCAGAGAGATGCTTGGAGGCGCACAGGACTGAATCAGACCCGGTGTCCCCAGATTTTTAGCAGAATAGTGGCTGATGCAAGCAACAGAGAAAACACTCATGTGCTTCATTTCTAAGTGAGTGTTGAGCACATTGATAATAAGGCAATGAAAACCAGTGTATCAATGTGTGTCTGTTTCTGTTTGATCACTTAGGCTCAGTGTATGAATGTGTGTGAATGGTGAATGTGATGTAGAGTAAAAGAACTTTGAGTAATCGAAAAGACTAGAAAGGTACTATACAAATACAGAGCATTTACATTTGCATTTATAAAATATAGTATTTACAATAAAAACAAAACAAAAAAAATACAGGTGCTGGTCATATAATTAGAATATCAACAAAAAGTTGATTTATTTCAGTAATTCCATTCAAAACGTGAAACTTGTATAATGTATACATTCATTCCACACAGACTGATATATTTCAAGTGTTCATTCCTTTTAATTTTGATGATTATAACTGACAACTAATGAAAACCCCAAAATCAGTGTCTCAGAAAATTAGAATATTGTGAAAAGGTTCGATATTGAAGACACCTGGTGCCACACTCTAATCAGCTAATTAACTCAGAACACCTGCAAAGGCCTTTAAATGGTCTCTCAGTCTAGTTCTGTAGGCTACACACTCATGGGGAAGACTGCTGACTTGACAGCTGTCCAAAAGACAACCATTGACACCTTGCACAAGGAGGGTAAGACACAAAAGGTCATTGCTAAAGAGGCTGGCTGTTCACAGAGCTCTGTGTCCAAGCACATTAATAGAGAGGCGAAGGGAAGGAAAAGATGTGGTAGAAAAAAGTGGACAAGCAATAGGGATAACCGCACCCTGGAGAGGATTGTGAAACAAAACCCATTCAAAAATGTGGGGGAGATTCACAAAGAGTGGACTGCAGCTGGAGTCAGTGCTTCAAGAACCACCACGCACAGACGTATGCAAGACATGGGTTTCAGCTGTCGCATTCCTTGTGTCAAGCCACTCTTGAACAAGACACAGCGTCAGAAGCGTCTCGCCTGGGCTAAAGACAAAAAGGACTGGACTGCTGCTGAGTGGTCCAAGTTATGTTCTCTGATGAAAGTAAATTTTGTATTTCCTTTGGAAATCAAGGTCCCAGAGTCTGGAGGAAGAGAGGAGAGGCACAGAATCCACGTTGCTTGAAGTCCAGTGTAAAGTTTCCACAGTCAGTGATACGCCAGACCCAACAATGCAGAAGAAGGCCACTATCAGAGCAACCTGGGCTCTAATAACACCTCAGCAGTGCCACAGACTGATGGACTCATGCCACGCCGCATTGCTGCAGTAATTCCGCCAAAAGGAGACCCAACTAAATATTGAGTGCTGTACATGCTCATACTTTTCAGTTGGCCAACATTTCTAAATATCCTTTTTTTGTATCGGTCTTAAGTAGTATTCTATTTTTCGGACATACTGAATTTGGGATTTTCAATGCAAGAGCAATAACCTAGTAACTGCTACTTCTACTACTGTAGCAGAAAGAGACATGCGATTGAAGTCTCCAGAAATTCCAATGAAAGCATTCGGGTGTTGAGTTTGTAGTATGGCAGTAACTGAATGGATGACGTCACACGCCGCTTCAGAATCGGCTGATGGTGGGATGTAAACAGCCATAATAAAGGCATATGTGAACTCCCTGGACAGAAAGTATTGACACAGACTCACAGCTAACAATTTGATATCTGGGCTACAGAAATGGTCCTTCACAGTAACATGTGTTGCAACACATTACACCATCTGTTGTTTACAAACACTGTAATCCCCCCTCCTTTCTTCTTATCGCTCAGACAGCGATCGCTGTCGGACCACAGATATGGAGTGTGGACTGGTAGCTGGAGAGGTACCAGCTCACTTCCTGGGCACTGCCGAAGATGGCCTTGAGTATGCCCGTAATCCCCCACCCGCTTGGGGGAGTGCTGCACCAAGTTGAGTTTTCCCTTGTGGGATTAATAAAGTATTTCTCTTTCTTCTTCTTCTATTATTACTATTATTATTATTACTGTTATTACTACTATTATTGTTAGGTGTTATAGATATATATTGTTTCTATCCCTAACCTTTCCTTCTTCTGTACTTACGTTAGTCTGTCAACATTTCCTAGAGTTTAGGTCAGAGCTGTGAGATTTTTTTGGTGATTTCCCCCTCTTCCTGTGACAGAGAAGATCTCAGTTCCCCAAAACATAAAAACCTCCCTTTGCTCTAGGCCAGATGCCCGAAGCTGTCCTAGGCAGCAGGTCTCTGGACCTGCTGATTTTCTGTTGTAGTACTTCTCTGTTATTCTCTTTTTATTAATAAAGACAACAGTTGGTTGTTACTTGGTTATATAAAGAAAATAAAGCTGCTAGAATGGCCCAGCCAATAATCTGAATTTATAAGTAATAAATACATTTCATTAAGCAGATGTCATTACACAATATTACACATAACTTAATTTCTGAACTTTTTTTATGTATGGATAATTGGGTTGTTACATCTGGTGAAAATTGAATGTCAATAGCACCTTTAAAAAGAAACATGTTTACTGAGAAAAATGATGAGAGGTTCAATACTTATTTTACCAGCTGTATAAATAAGTTAAAGTTTACTTCCTTACTTACATTGTTCCATCTAACAGAGACAGTGTTGTCTTTGGTGTCTCTACAATCAACAGCACAACTGACTGTTTATTAAATCACTGAGTATTATTGTCAGATGGAATCAATCAAATCTTTATTAAAGTTAGAATCTGAAGGTTTTCATTAAATAAATGTTCAGTCGCTATCTATCGTCTAATGAGGTAACACAGTGCTGACTGAGCCTGTGGCCCACTGATCAAAGTACTGCAGTATTTACATATCTGCAGTATTACCAAGGGAAAAACAGTGAACATTTCCTGCAGCTTCAGCATTTAACTGGTGAAACACAAGTTGGCTTTTATCCCTGTTATGCTTCTCTTACATATATATATACCATTTTTATGGATTTGTCATAATCAATGTTAATTGTTTTCTGAAAACTTTAATGGCTCGCGGCTAGTGGTATTCACTCTGAGCTAAATGTATATTGTAATGTTAAATTAATTAACTTGTAATTAATTTTAAATGTCTGACATTGCCTCAGTGTGCTTTTGCGCTGATGAAGGAAGTAGAAGTGCAATTAATGTGTGCAATGTCTTTTGCAGGAGCCAATAAAATGTGAAAAACAGTCATCCCTCTTCATGCCCTAACCACAACCATTACACAGGGAGTAATGGAAGAGTCAGGAGCAGCCACAGTGAGCTATTAGATAAAGAGCTGCAGGCGACAGGCTGCAACACCAAGCTAACCAGCTCCTCTCACTGGGCCCTGCTGTTCACAGACTAAGAAATCTTCATCCCTTCAAAGTGACCAGAAGCTGCTGAGATTTGACTGAGAATCCAAGCTACCCATCCCTTAAAATATGGAATTGTCCTGTATTTGAGAATTAAATAGCGCATTCCGTTTTGAATCAATACGGGATGCGGTTTGTCCCGTATATCCGAGTTGTCTTTAATGCAGCACCCCATGCAAATCATCCCTCTACCTCTGATTGGGCAAGATTCGCTGTTTCATTTATACCGTCAGGTTCAGGGCCAATCGGAGTCAGATAAGGGAGGGTCTCTTGGCAACAAGTTGAGTTGGAAAAATGGAGGCGGCAGCTCGAGAAACCCCCCACGTCCCCTCTGAAACAAAAGTGGATGCAAAAGTACCGATGACGATGAAAGAGGGAGAACTTGATGAGTTTCAGGCTAAACGTCACAATTTGTCAGCCAGTGTTCTGTGTGGTGCACGGTAGCCTTTCAGATTTCTGACACCATGTCGAGACAGTGTAATGACTTAAAGAAACTTACTAATTTCCTGACTGATTAAGCTGGTTTACATATACTGCTGAGATAGTTAAGAAATATTGTTACAATGCAAAAGAAGCACGTCTACATTATGGTAGGATTTGTTTTTTAAGGTTGAGGTATACAGTCAGACACATCAGCATTAATTTAATAAGAGATTGGAGAGATATATAGGCTATTAAATACACATTTAATTATCAATATAGTGCCTATGTGAAGAATATAAACAACTATGTGTTATGCTTAACCAATCCATAGAATTGCATGATTCCGGACTATAGAATTAACGATAGGCTGAATAAAAACTGAAAACATAAATACATAAACATATTTACTGACCAATCATAAAAATGTTGTTGAATTAAATTTAGAAATGTTTGTAGATACATTATTTATGTGTGATTTTATTGTTTGGATGGTATTACTGCAAACAATGAAAAATATTTTAGCCAAAATCTTTGTTTGCACCACCCTTTACAATTACTTAAAGTTCATTAGCATTTCTCAGCAAGAACAGCTGCTCTGTGGAACTCATTAGGAGTGAGCTTTTTCTGTTCATAGTTTTACTGCAGCAGTTTGAAAGACTAACAGCAACTCAGTGCTGCACAAGTACCCTATTTTGGTAGGGCCTGCTGCTGCCTCCTGATTGGTTGCCTGGATGACATCAGCCATGTTAAGCCACATCTGACTGGTGAGTGCAATGCTAAGTGTGGTTTCTATAAAGAGAGAAACAAATACAAATGAATAAAGGAAACATATGCATACAGTCACTCCTCCTTAAGCACTAATATACGTTACTAAACATAACAAAAACAATAGTCAGAATATGACTATATTTCTCTTAAACTCTAATAATATAAGCAGAAAGAAAGGATTCTAACACTTATTATATGGGATTCTCATATTTTCTACAATGCGTTAAGTTCTCGCTAACAGACAGCACTTCCTGTCATCTTTGATACGCGTTGTAGCCTCCAACTGACTAAATGCCTAGCTGCTTTTATTGTGAAAACCCCGTACCGGATGCTATGTTCCGTTCGCACTAGCAAGGCCTTGATTCAGAAGCCTTGATAGCGCTCCAAATAACAGTATTTAACACCACTTCTTATTCTACTCAACCACCAAGTACTGAACAATCCTAACAACAAGCAGTAAAGTATAAACATGTCTAAACACAATATTACATATTTTTAACCCGGCGTACCAAATCAGATGAGCCAAAGCTCGAAAGTGAATGTACGAATGCCAATTAGTATGCGTAGCAACCCTTTAAACTCCTAAACTCTACACATCAAACAGCAGAAATAACAACTGGTTTGACAAATAAACGCAATTTCACAGATGTACTTACTCTTCTCAGTTACGCACACTCTAAAGAAAGGTGCAGCTCACAATTACAATCCAGCTGACCGACTATCTCTATCATACAGCATACTAACTGTGTGACGTCAGATAATATACAAACCAGCACTTGCTTTGGCTACCCGATTACAAGCGCTAAATAAATGGAAATAACGGAAAAACACAAAGCCCAATATGGTCAACTGTACTAAATAATAGCAACACTGACATAACTTTGGAGCCTTTTCTACAAAGCTTTTACTTCTCTCTTACATTTTTTCCTGTACATTATATAAAGTAAAGATGACTGATTCACGTTTACGTGGTTTGTTGCCAAAAATGCCACATTCAACCCCTCAAGGCAAAAATGTAGGGGGGCTTACAGTAGGTGTCATACGTTGAGGCTGTCATCACACTGAAGTGGGTATGGTTGGATCTGAACTGGAAAAACAAGAGACGAGCTGATACGAGACAGATTCCACTGTCACAGGTGTTCAGGTGTTTTGCTCCAATAAGACCTTCATATGCTGGAAGTGTAGTAGTAGTGACATACCTGACATGAAATAGTGCCGGAAATGTACCAGAAGACCCCCAGCAACAAGACCGAGAACCAGGAGAACCAGGAGAACCAGGAGAACTTTGGCCCAGGATGGAAAATGTTCTGTGGGAACCAGAAACATAAGCCCCTTTTTCACTGCACAGTACCAGCTCGACTCGTCTCGACTTGACTCTCCTTTTTTGGTTTTCCATTGTAAAAGTTGTACCTGCTTCCAGGTACTTTTTTTGTATCACCTCCGTCGAGGTTCCAAGCGAGTTGAGGCGATACTAAAATGTAACGTGAAAACACTGCAGACTGCTAATTAGTCAGAGAGAATCGTCACTATTCACTGCATCATCAGTGCACGCGCCAGACAGAGGCCAGCAACAGGAAGTTTTATGTTTTACAGTTTTCGTATATAATTTAATCTCTAATTCCAATTCGGAGAAGGCTTGAGGTGAGAAATCAACTGTGTAGATTTTGAATATTGACAGTTTTACAAGAAATGGTGTCGGAACAAAAATGTGCTTGAAAGTTTTCGAAGTTGAGGAGCTCTGCAAGTAGCGGCTGGGGAAGCCTGCGCTAACCCGCGGGAGGAGCTCGCCCACAGAGCCCTCTGATCCCGCCGTCACACAGACCGCTGCAGCAACAACGGCAGAGGAAAACACAGCTGGAAGATTTTCATACCGCTTATCTGGATCGCTGGTGTCTGTGTCGCACTGAACATTACAACATTGGCGTCGCTATGACGACCAGCTACATTGAGGGGTGCTATCTCTGGGTACTATCTGCAATGGAAAACAGAGAACGGCCAAACCGAATCGAGTAGAGTTGAGTCGAGGCGAGTTGAGCTGCTACTGGTGATGGAAAAGCGCCAATAAAGAACATGACCTCTGGCCTGTATTTACAGCAGGTGTTAGGGTTTGTTGCTGACCTTTGACCTTCAACTGTATGTTTCTCACTCTCTGTTGTCCTCCTAACTCTCTGACAGTGCAGGTGTAGCTGCCGCTGTCAGAGAGCTGGAGTTTTGTCAGCTTGAGGCTGAGGTCTCCAGTTTCCAGAGCGTCAGTCATCATGGATGTTCGGCCGCTGTAAAGCTGGTTTTGGTCTTTAAGTTCATCACCTTCCTGCTGACGCTGGTGGACGGTTGGAGGATTGAGATCGTAGCGGCTCCACACCACTGTGGGGTCTTTCAGGTCCAATGGGGGAAACTCACAGGGCAGCAGGACAAACTCCTCCCCCTCATACAGCTCCACAGCTGAGGTATGCTGGGAAACTGTGAGGTCAAACAGACAGAGAGGTTCAATCATATTTCATGTCTTACCCTATCGGGGTAAATTGATTGAAGTGTCTTGCACAAGTCAAGTCAAGTCAAGTCAAGTTTATTTATAAAGCACATTTAAAAACAACCAGAGTTGACCAAAGTGCTGGACAAGTTATACAGAAAAAGACGTAATAAAAACATACATACATATATAAATAAATGGATAAAACCAGAGAAAATAAAACAGGCCAGACAATTAATGGCATACAGCAAAACAACGCAGTTAGATACAAAATAGATAAATAAAGACACAAGCGCAGGTGCCCCTAAACAGACTCAAACGCCAAAGAATGAAAATGTGTTTTAAGTCGAGACTTAAAAGTGTGGATGGTGGGGGATGATCTAATAATCAGGGGTAGATTATTCCACAGTCTCAGGGCCACCACTGAAAAGGCACGGTCACCCTTTGTTTTCATACGAGACTGTGGGATGGCTAAGAGGGAATGATTTGATGATCTGAGGGATCTGGAGGAGTGATGAAACGTTAAGAGTTCTGAAATATAAGATGGGGCCAGTCCATGTAATGCCTTAAAAACAATTAGCAGCACCTTAAAATCGATTCTAAATTTGACTGGTAACCAGTGAAGAGCAGCCAATACTGGGGTTATGTAGTCCCTCTTCCTTGTACCAGTTAGCTATCTAGCAGCTGCATTTTGAACAAGCTGCAAGCGTGATAAAGATGAGTGACAGATGCCAGAGTACAAGGAATTACAGTAATCAATTTGAGAGGAAATAAGAGCATTCAAGGGCCTTAACAGAGAGAATGGATTTAAGTTTTGCTATGGTCCTTAAATGAAAGAAGCTACTTTTAACAACAGAGTTTATATTTTTGTCGAATTTTAATACTGAGTCAAAGATAACCCGTAAGTTCCTAGCGAAGGGTTGTACATTAATGGACATGGGGCCCAAATTTTTTGATAATTCCTCAGTTGAGTTAGGAGAACCAAATAATTCAATCCATTTAGTTGGAAGAAGTTGATTGCCATCCAACGCTTAATATCATTTAGACAGTTGTAAATAGACTGTAGGGACTTTGAATCGCCTGGCTTCAGAGGTAAGTACAGCTGTGTATCATCAGTATAGCAATGGTAAGATATATTATGTTTGTGGAGAATGGAGCCCAAGGGGAGCATATACAAAGAAAATAAGATTGGCCCCAAGATTGAACCTTGAGGTACTCCGCACTTAATTGCTGCAGAGGAAGAGGAAATGTTACCAAAGCTAACAGAAAAGGTACTATCTTTCAAATAAGAGTGAAACCACTGTAGCGTGACACCCTGGATACCAACCCGTGTGCTCAGGGACACAATGGTAGATGGGTCACAGTGGAAATCTCTCACAACTCTCTCAAAACAAAGATATAATTCTAAATGTAGAGTCACAAAATTTTATAAACACAAATCACGATCTACAAATATATTCATAATCCAAAAGTTTTTATTTTTCTGATTCGCCGCTTAGCTTGCCGGCTGGCTCGACCAGCTGCAGAGGAACGCTGTTTGTGAGTCTTTCAGTCTGGGCCAAACTAAGACTTTCAAAATTAAGGGAGGATATGAGCAGCCCCTCCCAACTTGGACTGATCCTTGTTTTTGCTGAAATCTGATCGGCTCAGTGGAGCCGATGACCCCAGTCATGTTGAGGAGGAAGGAGAGAAGGAAGAGGAGGACCTGCAGGTGAAGGACGTTAGTGGAACCAGACAAAACAGTGACAGGTACAGTGGCAGGACTGGATAGGCAATCAAATTATGCAAAGAATTAGAAAATGAGATGAAAATCTTGAGACACATACAAAGTGCTGCATTTTATGGGACTGCATTTTAGTTTTTGATTTTATTTGAGTACTCTGACTGACTCAGACTTGACCTGCTCTTGTTCAGTGCAGTGGTGCCTTGCTTATACAAACTAAACAGACAGGTGTCATCGTCATCATAAAGTTTGTTGAAGGTCATCAGTACAATCTGATTTACTGTATACCATAAAAACACTAATGTGTATTAAAATAACATTGCAAAAACTCTTTCTCTGTTTCCCCAAATGGCTGTCGCATAAAAGGCCTCTCCATCTTAAAGTCCCAGATTGAATTTCAGTCCAAGTACACCCCTGGAAAAAATCATGGTTTGGGTTAAAGGGTCAGTGTGTAAGGTTTGTTGCATCTAGCAGCGAGGTTGCGAATTGCAACCATCAGTCCAGTTCACCACTGCCCCCTATCCTTTCAAAGAGCGTAGGACAGCTACAGTGGTTGACACAGCACAAAAGGTGTCTCCCTCTCAGCAGAGGGTACCAGTAAGGGAATGAGGTATCTTCAGGTAAATTATATTTACTTTATTATTCAGTAAAAAGTATGTTATTGAGAATTGGCCACTGATAGACAACATGGAGTAAGTAAAGTAAGCCAACAGTGTGTAACGCTGAGATAAAGTTTATACAAACATTGACATGGGAAACACATTTATTATCTCTGTGATTATGGACCCTCACCAAAACTGCTCTAAATTGTAGAAAGAGTTCTGAAGGAAGGCCAAGTTGCTCAAGATCCACTATGAAGACAAGGTGCATCAAAAACTACTATCTGGAAAATCATAGGCATGGCCCTGTGCGTAAAGATTTATGATTTGTTTTTCGTATATCTCCTGCCACCAGGGAAAGCCAGTGGTGCTGTCAACTAGGCAGCACACACACAGACCAATACTTTTTGATTCCCACCACCCACTGGAACACAAGCTAGGAGTCATCAGAACCCTGCAACACAGAGCGGACCACATACCAACAAGTGCAGAAGCCAGAGAGAAGGAACAAAACCACCTGAATGGGACCCTTACAGCCTGTGGATACCCTTAATGGACCTTTGTGAAAACAGCCACAAAATCCAGGAAGAAGACCAACACTACAGGGGATGAGGAGAAGAAACGCAAAAACATCATGATTCCATGTGTGTATGGAGTATCAGAGAAACTCACGAGTATTTTCAACAAACACAGCCCAAGAACACACTAAGACAGATAGGGGTAAACTGGAGCGAAAGTGACACGGGACGAAAGTAACAAGGCGCCCTGAGCCCTGACTGAATTTGCTGTCCAAGCTGTGACAGCACCTTCAGCACGCAACCCTTGATGGAGCTGCCAAATATCTCATGATTTCGTCATTGTTTCCTGTAATGTAGCGAAGTAAAAGTATAAAGTTGCTTCAACTAAAAATACTCAAGTAAAGTAAAAATACGGAAAACAACTACTTGCGTACAGTAACAAAGTATTTGGTTCTCATTACTTTCCACCAGAGTTCTACACACTTGTGTCACTCATAATTTCCAATCTCAAAGTGCAACAGAGCTGCCTGAAAGCGCTAGCTTGTTGCTCTCTTTAAGGCAATCTCAGCTGCTCTGGTTCAATAAAACGTACATCCAGACATTCACAGTTAAAATTAAAGTGTTGTTGTGTCGGGAGATGCAGCGACTTAAAACAGTGTTGTGTAATAAAAAATATAAATTATATATGTTTAATCTATGACCAGAAGCAAAGTCTGCTAGCCGCTAGGCTAATTCAAGTAGTGTGCAATGTCATAGGCTGTAGCTTATAATGATGTTTAGCAAAAAACAAACCTTGACTATTGACTTCAATGTGTGTTAAATGTTCTTATTATTGAGCCAAGTTTTATATATGTTAGGAGTAACTTTATCGTTACCTTTTCTTCACTTAACCAGCTACAATTAAAAAAAATATATTTTATGACCAAAAGCAGAAAAGAGATTGGTGGTAGTTCATCTCTGTCAGAAGAGGACAGAAACAAGAAGAATAAGGAGAGCAATGAGGAAAATACCCCAAACAGTGCACAGGAATAAATAATTGTCATTAAGCTATAAATTACAGTTCAATGCAAACAATAGAATAAAACCCTTTTATATTCCACCCACATGCCTTGTTGTTGTTGTGTAAAGTAAGTAAGAGTAAAAACGGGAGACCAGCACAAAGCTTGTTGTTCCTGTGTAAGTATGGGTGAAGTGGATACTTCATAACATGACTGTGTAACTACAGGGTAACAAGTGGAGAACATTCAACTTTCATTACAACTGTCTGCATACTTTAATTGTCTTGTAATTAAAATATATACTAGGTTCCTCTCTACCTCATTTAACTTTAGCTACCTTTGATCCAACTTCACATAAGCTATACACACGACATTATTACATTCCTGTATTACTTGAAAAAGGTTAGTTTGTTCTACTCCAGCCTGTCCCTTATTAGCTGACCAGTGCAGGATTAATGCAGTTCTCAACTTGTGCTTATTCCAAGTCATACAATTAAGTAGAAGACATGCATAATAAATCCCTGTGTGGCTGGCCTTTTGAAGCCAGGACAAAATAATTTGTTTTTATTGCATTTGTGTGCATGTTAAAAAAAATCATTACTTGCCACAGGATGTGATTAATTGTCAACCGTTCAGCTCTGTTTACCAGCACTGTAAACTGTTGTTACCCAGAATTTTCAGTTATAAATTTACATTGCAAACCAGGGTACCAGGTGCAAGTTACAATGTATTGTAGCTGTAGATTAAAATATATTAACTGCAAAACCATAATCTGTTCTTTGGTGGGTAGAGTAGCTACTGATCTTCACCCAACACTCACAGACACCTAGTACAATATAATTGTTTCTAAAGCATCTATGAATAATTACAATGTGAACAATTATTGTGGCAATAACCCTCAGCTGCCTGTTCTCAAATGAAGTAAGGTAAGGTTAAAGAAATGTGAAGGTATTTCCGGTGCCACACACGGCATACTGTGCAGTTACTGGATTTTAGTTACATTATTAGAACAAGCAAACCTTCAATTGAAATGGTATTTGCCTAATTTTCGAAATCTTTGCATCTGTCCAGCTATTATCTGGCACAAGCTAGCTTCCATAAGTACGTGCACACAGCTTAGAGGCCGAGCATGAAACGTGCGAGGACCCCAAAAGAATATCGTTTTTAATGGTCCAAACATGCTAAAAAAGTCACCAAACTTTTTTTAAATTTTATGGGTCTCGCACATGCGCATGGCAAAATGGCTTGCTAGCAACCCCTACAGAGCAGCCCCGGCCAAAGTTTCACCTAAGTGTACAAACTTTCTGTGGTACATGTATCACGTCAAGACGATCCAAAAAGCTATTTTCTGGGACATAACGTATAATTAGTGGGTGCTCTCTATCACCATCTAGGGGACACAGGATATACTGTTTAAGTCCTTCATGCAATGTCTCAAGCGTGTGATAATCAAAAGCCATGTTGGCAGAGCTGCAGCATGTGCGGCGTGATTGCAATACTTCCAGTCTCCCTTCACGTGCGAGGGCCCGCCAAACGCTTTCCTCACCTCATGTTTTTATTGTATTTGCCTTTAAATCTCTATCACTCTGTGTGTGGTGTGTGTGTGGAAGGGGTGGCATTATTGTCATAGCACTAGTTTTTTAATTTGAAACAAAAGTGCTATACAAATAAAGATATATTGATTGATTGATTGAGTGAGTGAGGCTTGCTGCTAAATTGATGTAAGGAGGAAGTGAACGCTGGCACGCCTGGTCGCCACTGCTAAAAAATCCCTACCATATTAGCCACTATATATCGCCCATCCAATGTCATTATTCTGGGTGATTTTCCCACAGGACACATCTTAGACCTTATCTGTTTCTCTGGTCTAACCCCTTTTAATTGCACTGCATCTGACTTGTCCATCTCTGACCACAAGTTAATTTCTTTTAATGTCAACTTACCACTACCCAAAACGAATCCACCCCGCTCCATCTCATTCTGAAACATCAACAACATTGACCTACCTGCCCTTTCTATAGGAATTAACAATCTCACCTTAGAAAAGAGATCTGATCTCACTATACAATCTGGACTATTCATAATTTTATGTCATTTTTCAAAACCAAAATTGACAGTATCCATCAATAGCTACCCACCTCACATAACGGTGCACTTTATCCAGGCTTTCGGACTCCACAGCACAGAAACAGTCCTAATCAAGGTCACCCATGACCTACTAATGTCTGCTGATTCTGGTCTTCTTATCATACTCATCCTTCCTATTTGACTGCTCCAGTGCTACTGCTTTCCAATTCCAGTGTCTCCTCCTCCCCCGATGTCAAGAGTCTTGGTGTCATCCTCGACAGAACACTCGAAAGGCCTACCCCACATAACTCTACCTTCCACCGGCTTCATAATGAACTGCTTTTTTTTACTTTAATTCCCCTCTATACTATTTTAACTTAATCTTTAAATTGTCTTGGTTTTGATTTTCTTTATTGTATTTGCCTCCTTGAAATGTATTTTAATTATTTTAATCTGTAAGGTGTCCTTGAGTGCTATGAAAGGCGCCCACAAATAAAATGTAATATTATTGTGATCAGCTGTGTTGAAGTGAAACTGTGAGTTTGACACTTAAGGGTTTGTCAGCTCAGAGTTCAGGTTCAGACTTTGTTAAAGCAGCTCTCTGGAATGAGTCCAGATCACCACAGATCTCTTCTGAGGAAAGAGGAGGAGCTTCAGCTTCCTCATGTTTGTCAGAGCTGTTGGTCCAGTTTCTGTCTCAGACTGACAGACAGAAAGCTGAACCTTCAGTCCTGTTGATTATCTGCACAAGAACTAAACTTCTTTATCAATCTCTAAATGACTGAAGCCGTCAGGAAACACAAGCTTTTCTGTTCACTTTCATTCATTTCAAGAAAACATTTTAATGTCAGAGACACAAACAGCTGACAGAGATTTATGTCATTAAACACTGAAGTCAGTCCAACTTTTCATCAGTACAATCATGAAACAAAGAAATGGATTTAAACTAAATTTCTTCTTTCTGATGATGTCACTTCAAAACAGATCACATGAGAAACTGCATTCATTAGATATTACTCTGACAGTAATCAAAATTAATAGATTACATTGTGGTTATCATAACAGTCCTAGTTAAGATGAAAGAAACACAGATTAAAGACGTGAAGACGTGACGTTGGACTGAGGTGATGATCAGATCAGAGGGAGGAAGGTTATCTTACCGTGCACGAGGATCACAAACACCACAAACATCTTCATCTTCCTGTAGAAACTCCAACAAGCACAAAGTTAATCTGCTTCTCACTAAAGGAAGTCTTCAGAAACCCAGTGAGGACATCAGTTCACAGCCAGCTGTCCCTTTCCTCCTCCTGATAATCTGCTGACTCTGTGAGGAGAAAACTGGAGTTTCACTTTAAACTGTTTCCACTGAAGCAGCTGTTGGAATGTGAAGAAACTGGCTGAGCAGCTTTCACACAAACATTAATGTGACAGATAAGGATTATGGAAAGTCATTATACATGTGCTGGTCATATAATTCATCAAAAAGTTGATTTATTTCAGTAATGCCATTCAAAAAGTGAAACTTGGATATTATATTCATTCATTACACACAGACTGATATATTTCAAATGTTTATTTCATTTAATTGTGATGATTAAAACTGACAACTAATGAAAATCACAAATTCAGTATCTCAAAAATTAGAATATTACTTAAGACCAATACAAAAAAAGCATTTTTAGAAATGTTGGCCAACTGAAAAGTATGAACATGAAAAGTATGAGCATGTCCAGCACTCAATACTTAGTTGGGGCTCCTTTTGCCTGAATTACTGCAGCAATGCGGCGTGGCATGAAGTCCATCAGTCTGTGGCACTGCTCAGGTGTTATGAGAGAACAGGTTGCTCTGATAGTGGCCTTCAGCTCTTCTGCATTGTTGGGTCTGGAGTATCGCATCTTCCTCTTCACAATACCCCATAGATTTTCTATAGGGTTAAGGTCAGGCGAGTTTGCTGGCCAATTAAGAACAGGGATACCACGGTCCTTAAACCAGGTACTAGTAGCTTTGGCACTGTGTGCAGCTGCCAAGTCCTGTTGGAAAATGAAATCTGCATCTCCATAAAGTTGGTCAGCAGCAGGAAGCATGAAGTGCTCTAAAACTTCCTGGTAGACGGCTGCGTTGACCTTGGACCTCAGAAAACACAGTGGACCAACACCAGCAGATGACATAGCACCCCAAACCATCACTGACTGTGGAAACTTTACACTGGACTTCAAGCAACGTGGATTCTGTGCCTCTCCTCTCTTCCTCCAGACTCTGGGACCTTGATTTCCAAAGGAAATGCAAAATTTACTTTAATCAGAGAACATAACTTTGGACCACTCAGCAGCAGTCCAGTCCTTTTTGTCTTTAGCCCAGGCGAGACGCTTCTGACGCTGTGTCTTTTTCAAGAGTGGCTTGACACAAGGAATGCGACAGCTGAAACCCATGTCTTGCATACGTCTGTGCGTGGTGGTTCTTGAAGCACTGACTCCAGCTGCAGTCCACTCTTTGTGAATCTCCCCCACATTTTTGAATGGGTTTTGTTTCACAATCCTCTCCAGGGTGCGGTTATCCCTATTGCTTGTATATTTTTTTTTCTACCACATCTTTTCCTTCCCTTCGCCTCTCTGTTAATGTGCTTGGACACAGAGCTCTGTGAACAGCCAGCCTCTTTAGCAATGACCTTTTGTGTCTTGCCCTCCTTGTACAAGTTAAATTTGTTAGATTTGTCATTACAGCAGCCATCTGTCCGCTAAACACTTATTCTTACAGTAATTCTGCCTAAGCACTCACACTTCTTTCCATCTTTTAGTGACTGCTGTTTAATCTCATAGTTTTTACTTTATACTTTAGCTTAGCCGTTAGCGACTTTAGCTTAGCAGCTAGTGATGGCTTCTCCTTCTCCCTCTCGCTCTCCTACTTTCTCTTTCTCGGTGTGTCAGATGTTCAGTTACTCCTCTGCCTCCTTTAGCGGTAATGGTACGTGTAATAAGTGTAGTTTATTTATAGACATGGAGGCGAGGCTCAGTGATTTAGAAGCCCGGCTCCGCACCTTGGTAGATCAGTTGTTAGTTGCTGTAGCTCGCCAGTCCCCGGTAGTTGGTGCTGATCGCCTGAGTTAGCCTCTGGTAGCCGTCTCCCGGCATCTCCTGAGCAGCCGGGAAGGGGTGGCTGGGTGACTGTCCGAAGGAGGAATAGTCGTAAGCATTCAAAGCCCACGGGGCACCATCAACCTGTTCACGTTTCTAACAGATTTTCCCCACTCAGCGACACACCCGCTGAGAAACCAACTCTGATCATTGGCTACTCCATTTTAGTTAGGGAAGCCAGCGGCCATAGTTAAGGCCAATCGGAGGTCACTAAGATTAATGTTGAGTCGGTGTGTACATATGCAAAAACAATGTTGGACACCGTAGTTTTCTCTGGACCCCTGCCAAATCTGACCAGTGATGACATGTAGAGCTTCAATGTCATAAAAATTATTTAAATCAAAGGTAAACAGAAGAGGAGCTGTGCATTAAATCCATATAAAAATTAGAACAACAATATCAACAATAAATATAAAAAATAAAAAATAGGATAATTAAATGTGAACTCATTAAACATCAGATCTCTCTCTTCTAAAGGTGTACTAGTAAATGAACTAATATCAGATTATGATATTGATTTATTTTGTCTTACTGAAACCTGGCTGGGTGATGGAGAATATGTTAGCCTAAATGAATCCACCCCTCCCAGTCATATTAATACTCACACTCCTCGAGGCACAGGCCGAGGAGGTGGAGTTGCAGCTATCTTCGACTCTAGCCTACTAATCAGCTCTAAACCGAAACTAAATTATAACTCATTTGAAAGCCTTGTTCTTAGTCTTTCACATCCAAGTTGGAAATCACTGCAACCAATTTGTTATAGTGTACCGAGCACCTGGCCCGTATTCTGAATTCTTATCTGAATTTGAGTTTTTGTCAACTTTAGTCCTTAAAACGGACAAAGTTATTATTGTAGGGGATTTTAATACTCATGTGGACGTAGAGAATGACAGCTTTAGAACTGCGTTTATCTCTCTATTAGATTCAATTGGCTTCTCTTAAAGTGTTCATAAACCGACTCACTGTTATAACCACACCCTCGACCTTGTTCTGGTATATGGTATGAAATATATAGTATATAATAGTTTTCCCACAGAATCCCTCTTTATCTGACCACTGTTGGATAACTTTTGAGTTTGTATTGCTGAACTACACGCCATTGGTCAAACATTTCTATACTAGATGTCTGTCTGATAGTGCTGTAGCTAAATTTAAGGATGCGATTCCATCTCTGTTTATTGTCCAGTGGATATTCAGCAGCAAATGTAAATGCTCCATATTTGTATAGCACCTTTCTAGTCTTTTCGACCACTCAAAGCGCTTTTACACTACATCTGCAGTCATACACTGAGCCTAAGTGCTCAAACGGAAACTAACATTCACACTCATTCATACACTGGCGGAATAACCCCTTCGACACACAACCAGGGGATTGAACCGCCATCTTTTCGATTAACGGCCAACCCGCTCTACCTCCTGAGCCACAGCCGCCCCAAATCAGTGAGTCAGTAAGTTACAGAAACAGTTATCTTTGTGAGATTTATTAAAGAGAAAAAAAACAGGAGTACTCAAACTATTCAGATAGCTCACACACCTGTCGTCGGTTTGGAGCATCTGCCAGAGGAAGGGAAAATTAAAACACTGAAGGAGGGAGATCACAGAAAAGAAGTTCTCAGCCTGGACGTTCTCTCAGGAACAGAGAACGCATAAGACAAAACAATTTCATTAAAGCTAAAAAAATGTATTTTTTTTAAATGAGACAAATATATTAACTCAACAACATTTTTACTTTTCTACAAAATAATCAGTTCACACAGAGACCACGGTCTTCTTTAGTATTCACTAGGTTTATCACAGGAGCAGCGACAGCAAAGCAAACTATGCCACAATGTGCATGTTTTCTATTCTACTAGTTTCAAGTATTATTTTTGGCATAGTTTCATTAATAATTTGTTTATTTTTCACAAGGCAATAAATCGTTTCAATTCTTTTGGTGTTATTGGAATACATAATACTTCACATAACTGTGGCATTGGGCTGCATGCATAATTAAAATAAATGTTATTTAAATATTTTTACTTTTTGTTTCACAAGCAAGATGCCAAATGAGTAAAGATAACCTTCAGCTTCACACAGCCAAGCCACAGAATACTGAATTACCTGAATACATTAATGTATTGATAAAATACAAACACTTTCTTATTGTTGCTGTTACATTACATTTAACACACACACACAGACTTAGTTTCACATTTGAGGTGATATGCTTTAGTTATTTTCTTTACCTATTTACCTGCAGTGACTTGTCAAATGTGTGCAAATTGGCGCATTTTAATGAGTTAACACCTAATTTGCATATCAATGTGACGATTGTGATGACGTTATTAGACACAAATGTTACTGTGTTCACCTGTAGTGTCTCCATCAGTACATTAGGTTGTAAGGCCATGAGATATTGCCTTAGCTAAACTTCAGCTAAATTATTACATTAGCTCAGCTCATGAGTCATGCATCAGCAAGACATAGGCCTATACTGTCTTTTGTTTAATTAGCGGTAAACTCGAGGCACTGGTAGTTTAGTCTTTTGTTCATCACCACTCACCTCCACACAAGCCAAGAAAGACACAGCTGGGAGAGAAGCTGGAGGGGCTGGAGGGGAGAGAGAGTGCACTGTATATGAATTTCAATTTATTTGCTTGTTTAATGTTTAATTTAGTAGAGTTATTTTTCTAATAGCTTTCTAAGTTGTATTTCTGCTGATTGTTTTGTTTTTATGTTTCATGTTGACTTTTGAAGGTTTGAACTGACCCATTTAAAGGACAATTTAGTTCATTTTGTGTTTAATTTAGAGGGGAGATATACATGTTGAGTTCCTGGTGAGTTGTTGGAGCGCAGGCTGCGAACTGGAATGAATGTGAGTGGATGAATCTTGTTTTACATAACGCTGGTTTTGACCTCCTGTAAAATTGTTTGCAGAGACCGATGTGTCAGCAGTTTTCTGCACTGAAAGCCAGAATGTTGAAATGGGGGCGGCTGTTCTTAAATCCACAACTGCTCCAGTGTGGAAGAACAAGAAGACAAGACGGGCGAACAGCTAAAACCAGCCAAAATCAGAGAAAGTTTTTTCACAAAATGGGCCTTTCATAGGAAGTCTCCTGCACAACTCTGAGGGAAATCAAAAGTACCATTATGCTGATTATTATGTAAGATTTACAGAATAGGCATGCATTCTACTGTATAAAAGTAAAAAGTTATTTTGATTGTCCTTGACCGTACTTTACTTTTGTTTTCACAGACTGCCCACCTTATAATGAGGTGGTCACATCCATTTGGGCTCCTAATTCAGACGGTGTGGATCATGAGGCCATTGAGTGTAAGTAGCAAACTTTTACTGTGATGTTTTATTTTATTTTTTTTGTACTGTGGCTATGCTATTTATTTATAATACCAAAGGTTGTTTTCCAGCTGTTTGTAAGACCCACTGTGAGAAATCACAGCTGCAACATCATTCACGCAGGAACTTCGTGAATGAAACTTCACGTACAGTCAACCAGTTGCTGGTGCGACAGACTTTAAGAGTTTTGCCCGGTGATGATTGAGTAGGAAGCAGGTAAGATTTTTTGGTTCGGATTCATTGTTGGTCAATCGTATCAACAGTATTTTTCAGTGAAATGTATTTTTTCCTCCAGGTTGTGAGACTTTAGAACTCATCATTCATCATGAATTCATCAGCACGGCTCTGTGAAACATGGTTTATACTTTATTACTTTATTAGGGCCTGAGCACTAAACGTGCAAGATCCCTATTGAAACGGAAGGGATTTTTTCCCTGCAAAGTAACCTCAATTTTGGGGGCCTAAACATACTCGAAAACTCAGCAAATGTTACACATAATTCAGACGCGGCAACATTTTTTGTATTTTATTGGTTTCGCACATGGGCGTGACACAATGGCTCGCTAGTGCCCCCTATAGAGCAGCCCCCAGACAAAGTTTCACCTACATGTATGAAATTTCTGTGGCACATGTATCATTTCCAGATGTACCAGCTTGGGAGAGCAATGATTAATGCATTGTGTTACAGTCATGCTTACAGTGTGCATTGCAGTGATCACTTCTCTTTCTAGCAAAGTCATTTTCCTCAGAATCTATTTTATCTCCATATCTAGGTCCAAGTCCTGCTGGGGTTTTTGGTGATATTTTATTTTGTCAATAATTATCAAGTGTGTGCAGTTCAGACATCTGACAGTTTGTAAAACACTTATATGTTAACACAAAATAGTGTTAAAATATTTTTCTCATCTTGTTCCCATGAACACAGAATTGTGCATCATCACATCTCGTGAGTCAAGTGTATTGTCACGCCCATAATCTAAGCCCTTATGTCCCCACCACTTTTCAACACAGTTAGTTTTTCGATAGGCTTACATAGGTAACTTATAGATGTGGAAATACCATTAAAGGAGATTTGTGTTTTTATTGTATTTGCTGTGAATTGGCGCTACATAATTACAGTTGAATTGTTATTATGTTGATTAGGCTATTGTTGTAATTAATACATTTGCTGAGTGTCATATTTACATCCACTGCTCACTTTTAATGTATGACATAACGTTGTAACATAATATTATATAATTATTATTATAATTTTGACAGTTTCAGTTAAGAGCAGTGATATGTTTAGCTACTTACTTCATCAGTCGCCCCTCTATTGTTTGCTGTGCCCTTGTTACTTTTTGTCATCGTTAACCTTCCTTTGCTGTAAAGTATGCTGCACACGTCTTTTCCATTTCAGCATCAATGAATCTGTGAGCGACTATGTGGTCTCGTGAAGAAATCTGTTGAAGCACATTTATCTCAATTACTTACACCTGGCTTGACATAGTCGCTCCTCCTGAGCCTGGTTTGGCCTTTGTGAAACTGATAAAGCCAGGACAATAACTGCCAAGGACTAGTGGGAGTCAAGGCAGTTTACAGGGACCAAAATCACGCTTTTCATGCAGTGGGAGGTCTGACCTCAGTCTGCATACTGACCTTTGACCCTGAGATGAACAGTTTTCCCTCTCTGGATGTTTCCGTCACTGTTGAAGACATTGCACCTGTATCGTCCTCTGTCTCTGACTGTGGGGGATTTCAGGGTCAGACTGAGGTCTCCAGTTCTCAGCAGGTCTTCCTTCATCTCTGTTCGGTTTCTGTAAACCTGGTCCTGTTGGTCAGGCTGGTCAGAGCCGTTCTGATACACGTGGACTGTCTTTTTGGCTTGGGGTTCAAAGTGTCTCCACCTCACTCTAATGTCCTGAGGCAGGTTCTCTGTGGTCTTGCAGGGCAGCAGGACAGACTCCGCCCCCTCCTCCACCTCCACCTGACAGACTGAGAGGACAACAAAGCAGAACATGAGCTGCACAGACAGCAGCAGCAGTTTGAATAACTTTATTGACAGAAGCAGATGAGAGCAGCAGCTAACAGGGGACAGAAACACAGGAAGCTGTTGGAGATGATCAGAGTCTTGATGCTGCTGGGATTGTTTTGTCCATGTGCTGCTTCACAGTAATGTCTCCTGTCAGTGTTGAGCTGCTGGACTTTTACATTTCTGGATCTAAAGCTGAACTTTGAAGAGAAGAAGCTTTCAAATGTTTTCATCTCTGTTCTGTAAATGAATCTCAGCTCCACATGTTCAACATCAGTCCAGAACACCGAGACACACAAACATCTGATCTGGATCTGATCCCAAACTGCTCTTCCTGCTTCATCAATATTTGGCCTTTTCTTCTGCCGACTCTGAGCCCACTTTTCTTTCCAAACGGCTTCAACATGATGTGAAGAGAACTGAGCATCAATCTTTCATTGATCCAAACTATTAAAGCTGCATTTCTTTGTTCTGAGTGATCAACACATTTGGTTTCTTTCAGCTTTCTTCTTGATCAATACTGGAAATCAATAACTTATTGATCTCATTCTTTCCATCCATGGAAATGATCTCCTGGATTATTCTGGTTTCCTAGTATGATGTCATTTCCTCTTTTGACTGATACATTGTGAATGTGAAATGTTGTAGCTGATCAATATATGTCTCTCACCTGTATCTACACCACTGACCTTTGACTTCGAGCTCCACTTGTTTCTCCATCAGGATGTGTCTCTCCCTGCTGTAGACGGTGCAGGTGTAGGTGTTACTGTCTCTGCCTTTGGGGTATTTCAGGGTCAGACTGAGGTCTCCAGGTCTCTGCAGGTTTCTCTTCATCTCTGTTCGGTCTCTGTAAAGATCGTCCTGTTCTTCAGGCTGGTCAGAGCCGTTCTTATATACGTGGACCTTCCTGTTGAAGACTGAACTGTCCCTCCACTCCACTGTTACGTCTTCAGGCAGGTGAACTGTGGTTTTGCAGGGCAGCAGGACAGACTCCACCCCCTCCTCCACCTCCACCTGGTAGACTGAGAGGACAACAAAGCACAACATCAGCTGTACAGACAGCAGCAGGAACTCTGAAATATGTCCCATTGTTCCATCTAACAGAGACAGTGTTGTCTTTGGTGTCTCTACAATCAACAGCACAACTGACTGTTTATTAAATCACTGAGTATTATTGTCAGATGGACTCAATCAAATCTTTATTAAAGTTAGAATCTGAAGGTTTTCATTAAATAAATGTCTGTTCAGTCACTGTCTATCGTCTAATAAGGTAACACAGTGCTGACTGAGCCTGTGGCCCACTGATCAAAGTACTGCAGTATTTACAAATCTGCAGTATTACCAAGTGAAAAACTGCAGTATTAAGTTGCTGCTAATGCAAAGCGAACATTTCCTGCTGCTGCAGCTTCACATTAAAAGCATTTAACTGGTGAAACACTTATTGACTTTTACTTTGAAGTAGTCAGGAAATGCTATGTGTTTGTCAATGAGATTAGCACTGACACTATCATCAACGCATCTACAAAACAAGAAGAAAAGAGTCCGGAGAAGCCACATTGAGCTGTTAGATAAAGAGCTGCAGGCGACAGGCTGCACACCGAGCTAACCAGCTCCTCTCACTGGGCCCTGCTCAGACAGCGTGACATATAGCAATATGACTGTGAGTGAATGTTGGCATATGGATGTATAAATGTGGGACTGTCAAATTTGGTACAGATGTGAGCATGTAGTTTCAACAACTTCCTGCTTTGTGGCGAATCACTGAAATTCCACTCTACACCACGGACTTCCCCGGTCAACCAAAACTCACCATTTGTACAACATGTGATCATTGATGGGATAAGATTGCACAGCAAAAATTTCTAGACTAAACTAATTCCTAGGATAAGTTTAAGTGCCGAGTGTGTAAATCGCCACTTTCTTCGTTTTGGTTTTTGACCCTCTTGGTGTGTGTTCAAAGTTTTCAAGAACGTTAAGGCCGTCAATAATGAAATGTATTCACAGAACCTTCTTCAGTTGAGTGTTGAAGTCAACATGCCATTCCCTGGATTTGAACCACCAACCTTGAGGATGGCAGGGAAAGCACTAAACCACAGCGCTGCTCAGACACGCTGGTACACTGCTGATTTTGACTTTCTCTATTTGCTGTGGTTTTCATGTACATGAAATGCCTCTAAAGCACCAACAGAGGGCGCTCAATGACCAAACATTCCTGGCACACCAGTGTAAATAAATACTGTAAATAATAAAGAGGGAAGAGAACGAAAGTGTGAGAGCTACAGCTCTCACAGTAATAAAGAGCTACTACAGCTCTCACAGTAATAAAGAGCTACTACAGCTCTCACAGTAATAAAGAGCTACTACAGCTCTCACACTAAATAAATAAATAGTGAAAAAACTAACTCTTCCAAGCTTTTTCCAAGCTAATGTAGCTGTCATACATTGAGGCTGTCATCACATTGACGTGGGTGTGGTTTAATCTAATCTAATTCAATATCACTGAAGCAACTGAGACTATTTTCTACATCTACAGATTCCACTGTCACAGGGGTTCAGTTGTTTTAAGTGTAGTAGTCATAACATACCTGACATGAAATACTGCCGGAAATGTACCAAAAGACACCCAGCAACAACCAGGAGAACCAGGAGAACCAGGAGAACTTTGGCCCAGGATGGAAATCGTTCTGTGGGAACCAGAAACATAAAGAACATGACCTCTGACCTCTGACCTGTATCTACAGCAGCTGTTAGGGTTTGTTGCTGACCTTTGACCTGCAGCTGTATCTCTGTCACTCTCCATTGTCCTCCTGCTGCTCTGACGGTGCAGGTGTAGCTGCCGCTGTCAGAGAGCTGGAGTTTTGTTAGGTTAAGGCTGAGGTCTCCAGTTTCCAGAGCGTCAGTCATCATGGATGTTCGGCCGCTGTAAAGCTGGTTTTGGTCTTTAAGTTCATCACCTTCCTGCTGACGCTGGTGGACGGTTGGAGGATCAAGATCGTAGCGGCTCCACACCGCTGTGGGGTCGTCCAGGTCAAAGGTGAGAAACTCACAGGGCAGCAGGACAAACTCCTCCCCCTCATACAGCTCCACAGCTGAGGCATGCTGGGAAACTGTGAGGTCACACAGATAACTATGAGTCACAAACATATTTTCCAATCTGTAAACATAAATCATGATCTACAAATAGGAATCATCGACCTGTAGTTTTCTGAAACCAGAACTTGAATCCATGCAAAATGATTTGTCTGCATGTGAGGGTCATGTTCTACTGGTAGACTGTTTTGCAATTTTTCACAGAATTCTGACACTACTCTTTCTCTGTTTAAAAAAAAAATCAACAATTTGCAAACTCAATTTACCACACTAACTTGTATTTTGATTTTGAAGATTAGATGTCATTTAGCTGATGCTTTTATCCAAAGCAATTTTTTGGGGTCATTATCTGTCAGAGGTTGCACGCCTCTGGAGCAAGTAGGGGTTAAATGTCTTGCTCAGGGACATAATGATGGATGTCGCCACCCGTTTATTTTCAAACCACTGTTCTAAGACATTCGTACAAATTCTGTGAAAAGCTCAGAATTCAAGTGTCAAATCTGTGTTTGTGGATCACTTGTATTTGTCTACAAATCATTTTTACAATGGTTTACCACAGAGAGTGTGACTAAGATGCACAAACAAGCAGTGGATGGTTTACATTAGATCTTTGACGAGACGCAAAGAAATCCAGAAGTCAATTAGGTGGGCTCTGTATGGTCATCAACAATAACTGGGCAACAAACTTCAAGGTGAGAGAGACTGAGTGCTGTTAGCACTGTGCAGGCCCATAGCCATGGGAGGGCTTCTGTGGTCAGGGCCCACCCAAGTGACAGCTAGTGCCAGCCCATTGGCTCCACCAGTTACCCAGACTTTTTTTAGGCTATTTAATTAGTTTTATTACTCTTGTTATCTTCGCTCTTCTCCTGCAGTGCTTGTCCTAGAAACTTTGTTTCAACTTCAAATTGTACATCTTGGCGTTTTTAATTTGTATCTTTGTCTTTCTAAAAGCAATCAATGTCATGTGATTGTCAGTGGTTTCTTTAAAATAGTTGATAGCTCTACATATTTTATTCGCCAGTGGATTGGACCTCCAAATAAATATATAAGCTAAACAGTGGTGTGCCATCAGTATTTAACCAGTCTATCTCAGTAGTACAGTGGATAAGTTCAAATTAAGGGTTCAAATCTGGGTCACAGTATGTTAAATCCAATAGTGAAGTAAGGAAATTTTCTCACAGTACATCTCATTGTTTTGAACTTTGAACAACATGCCAGGAGGTGTCCAACCACGGAAGTCTGCCATTTTGGATTTAATTGTACATTTGGCGATTTAACACTGCGCACTTTAATGAACTCTTTCAAATTTTTGCTGTATGTCTTATCCTATCAATGATTACACATTGTACAA